TGGGTTTTCCACTCGTGCCACCAAAAATCACTGTTTTGACGGTTAAGAATTACTGAGGGCCAAACCCGGTCGAGATCAGTGGCCAGGAATAGAGTCTGTGAAAACATGCAAACCACTGGAATTAGTTTTTTTTTTTTTTTTTTGAAAAAAAAAAACAAACAAACATTAAATTCAAGGAAAAACTTACCGCTGTGGCGAAGTTGGATCTAACAAAATTACAATTTGTCACACTGATTCCATTGGGATCCGCAGGCCAGAGCCCGTGGAGTGTTAAGTCTGTTGGGAGTGGGTTTTTGCATGTGAGGCCTTGAGTGAGACAAAAGGACTTGGTCCATTGATGCACAAGCTGAAGATTATCATAGCAAGAGCCCAAGTTGATGAGAAGGAAAACAGTAAGAAAAGTGATTAGAGAAATCTTCATTTTTGTGTGAGAAGAAATGTGTTGTGTTGATCGCAATTTATAGTTTCAATGATGTCAAGTGGAAAGGAAAAAATAAATAAAAATCATTACTTTTGTTCTCATTACATTGACCTTGCATTCATTGTAATTACCATAAATATTTGTACCCACTATATTCTCAAATTAATTTTCGGAAAAAAGAAAAGAAAAAAAGAAGAAGAAGAGAGAGATTATTATGGGTATTATTATTAATTTTTTTGCTCTTTCTTCTCACACTAGTACTACTCACACCTATCTATATATAGATAGATCAATACTGATAGGTAGATATGATATTTTTGTCATTGAAATAAAAGAAAGGCTGGACCAACAAATAAATTGTACCCATTTTACTCCGTTTTAACAACTTCATTATTATATCAGTATGCTAGTTTTAACTAAATTTGACAAAACTTCTTATGACTTCTCAACCATAAGACTTGTAGAGTGATGAAAACAATCAACAGTTCACTTTTCTCTTCAAAACCATCAACATCCACAAATCAATTCAATTGATACTTTTTCCCTCCTCTCTCTTTACTCTTAGTTATCCAAACAGATTGTATTATATAAAAATAAAATAAAAAAATTACTTACTTGCGAAGGAAGTAAAAATTGTACAAATTAATTAACCTAAAGTGAACAAAAGATTGCCAAGAGCTACCCTAGTGATCTTCTTTATACTTTCCAAATTGTGAATAAAAAGAAAATACTAACAATATGAATACGAATTACTAGTATTTATTTATTTATTAATCACTTAAATGTATAATCTGATCTTTAATCGTTTCTTTTCCTTTGTTCTTTCAATTCAAGCTGCTAATGTTGCAACAACAGCGTTTTTGACTATTTATTGAAGCTTTTAATTTGCATAAAAACACTAAGATAATAACATATAGAAACTCCACTTCCTAGGGCTTTAGTGCATGATAAAAATATGGTTAGAAAAAGGCAAAAATATATAGGACATTAATGATATGCTATTATAAATATTTCAATAATTGTAATTGGTGTCATAGGTTTTTATTCAAAACTATAACACGTACTTTGTTTCAATTACACTATTATAATATTTAATTTAAAGTTGTTGCAGTGGCTTTGAATAGCTATATATATATTAGTAAAGAATAATCATTTTTTTTTTAATTTTTATGGATTAGTTCGGTTTTATTTATTTTAAAAAAGAGGTTGAGAATTTGAATCTTTTTTTATTTAATTTATTATTATTATTAGTATTATTTTCCAATGATAATGTACTTTATAAGTAAAAGTAAAATGTACGACTACAGTTATCAATTAATATCTACTTATTCTATGTAATTTTATTGTGTTTAAAACACTCAAATTAAGTGATTTTAAAGTTGAAATAAAAATTGTATATATTGCTCTCCGTACTTCAGGAGCAACTAAATGGAATTAATATACAAATATATACAGTGAATATGTCTACATTTACTTGAACTTTTGAAAAAAAAAAAAAAAAATTTGAGTTCAAATTTCTTGGAGTGACCCAATTACCTTTTACCCCTCATTCTAGTATCATCATTTTGCATGGAGAATAAGACGATAGGCATATAAAAAAGGAAGGTTGATATCTGAGATATAAAATTAATCTCGAAAAAGAAGATTGATATCTGAAATATAAAATTAACCCCTAACTATCACTATAATATATCACGTTCTAGCTAGTGTGACTAGAAAGAGTGAAGAAAAAGTAAGCTAGCAAGAAAAAAAAAAAAATATATATATATATATATATATATATATATATCTAACATTTAATTAATCCATTTTAAATAATGTCACTATCTCTTCTTCAACTATCTTATCTCAATTTAACTAACTCACTTTCTCATATTACTTTTGAAAATTGACCCTCGCATAGTTACAATTACCATTAATAATAAATTAAAAATTTTCCCTCTTTCTTCTCACTCTGCTACTCAGACTCACAACACATTATGATTATTTACACATGATATTGTTTTTTTCCCTATCTTGTGTAAGATAATATTATATATATATATATATATATATATATATATATATATATATATTTGTTATTTTATCCTTTCACATACAATATGGCATGAATTTTTATTTATTTAATAATTAAATACATCATTATTCATTAATTTAGTAAAACATACAGTAACCATGCCTTTTAAAATAAAGAACTGAATTAAATATTTATAAATAGGTCATTACTTATAAATAGGTCATTAATCCAACTGTATACACAAACTTAAAATTGACCACTATTTATCACCATGATATGTCACCTCCTAGCTAGTGTGACTATGAAGGGTGAAGAAAAAGACAGATAACAAGAAATATATTAGCTACCATTTATTAATCCAACAAACAGCATACACAAACAATTAATAATAACTTAATTAATAACAAGAAATATAGCAAGAAACAGAACCGGGGGCTTTCCATTGCCATCTTTGGCAGTACACAAACAATTACTAATAACTTCATTAATCCTGTATACACAAACTTAAAGTTGACCATTAGTTATCACCATGATATGTCACGTCCTAATTAGTCTAACTATAAAGGGTGAAGAAAAAGACAGATTACAAGAAATATACTAACTAGCATTTATTAATCCAACAAACAGCATAACTAGCTTTTATTAATCCAACAAACAGCATACACCATCAATAAATTGTATCATTCATCTGAGTGTTAGAAGTGAAAAGACGTGGTGACTTGGGTAGTAGTTAACATGGATTGTCAACTGCCCTAGTCCTCTTTTATAAGCCATTTTATATATTGCATATGGCAGTGTGTGTGTGAGTCTGATTTGGTCTATGTCAAATTTAGTTAATTATATGAAATTAGTTTGGAAGTTTAATATCATATGTATTTGATCTACAGAACACCGTTTCAAAGTACTTATACCTTTTATTCTCATTATCCCTGCATTACGTCATTACCATTAATATTTGTGCACATGATATTCTTGAAAATGTAAGATCATTATTAATTTTTGGAAAGAAAAAAAAAAAAAAAAGAAAAAAAGAAAAAAAGATCATTATCAGTATCATTATTAAATTTTTTTTGCTCTTTCTTCTCGCTCAACTATTCACGTCTATATACCTATCAGTATTGATCTATCTATATATATCTATATAGATAGACCAATACTGGTAGGTAGACATGATATTTTTGACAATGAAATAAAAGACAGGTTGGACCAATAAATAAACTCTACCCATTTTAATCCTTATTAACAACTTTAATATTAACAACAACTTCATTATTATATCAATATACTAAATTTAACTAAATTTAGCAAAACTTCCTACTTCTCTACCATAGGGCTTGTAGAGTGATAAAAACAAATCTTTTGTTCACCTTTCTCTTCATGACCATCCACATCCACAAATCAATTCTATTGATATTTATACCTCAATTCTCATAAGATAATATAAACTAAGTAGAACCATTGATAAATTGTACATGCTAGAGTGGACATTTAATTTAAGGGGCCACAAAGTCTAGAACATGGGTTGGCCCCACCATTTCCACCATATACTTGCCACTAATATGTGATACACTGAGAAAATTAAAATATATTTGTAGGAAATTCTGTTAACACAAGAAAGCTATTGTTGTTGGTATGGTTGTTGAAGTGTTTAGTAATAAAACTAGGGACATTGATGATGGTGTACCAATTTTTGCGTACTACTCTAGCCCTAATCAGTAACAGCTAATCAATTTCATTACAAGTCTGCACTTTTCTTGAATAAAATGAGAAAAATTCACCATATCAAATAGTATTCAAGATAACAGGAAATTAAGAAGGAAGATGAGGATAATTAATCATTTTTATTACTCTCGTCACTTTTGTACCTTTGTTGTAATGAATCATATATCATTTTTATTACTCTTGATCACTTTTGCATCATTATTATAATGAATCAGATGTAAACCCTTTATAAATAAGTGTGAGCAAAAAATACTTCTTTTAAAATTTTTGTTAACTATTTAACTTGATTGACATATTATTAAAAAAAATAAAATGGACTATTTACCAGATTAATATTGACATATTATCTTTCTTTAGGTTCTTTAGGATTTAAGGTTTTCTTTCATCATAAAATATATGTAATAATCACCTATTCAATTATCAATAACATTTCAAATTTTTTTTTTTTTTTTTTTTTTTTGAACTTATCACTTAATGTTATAAATTCATCAAAGTTGTTCATGGTTCCTTCAGATTTGTGATCAAACCCTCGAGGGTGTGTTCAATTCCCCTCTTCTAGGATTTTAGTTCAATTATTTTTTCCCTTTTAGTTTTAGAAATTCGGATTTAAAATCAGTTGTTCTAGGATTTTAACTATGATTTTTCCCCTTCGGTTTTACTTGATTTGGACCATCAAGAATTGCAATTTGTTTAAAAAAAAAAAAATATATATAGGTTATAGCTTTTGAGAGCACTAAATTAGTGCTTTGAATTTTAAATTTAAAAAATTTTAATTAAATTTCTTCCGATTCTGAAAATAACTCTTCCAAACATAATATTTTTTGAGAGCTCCTGAAAGTCCACCAATAATTAAAAGGCTGTTCAAGGGACAATAAATATCTTGTTATAGGCCCATAACAAGAAAGGAAAGTACGTATTACATGAAAATCAATACCCCCGCGCGCGCACATATATATTGTTGGCTTCTATATATATTCAAACTCCTCGTGCCTCAATATCAGTCACCGACTTTCAATCTATAAAACCCATTCTTTGCTTCTCAATTTTAGAAATTAATCTTCGTTTTCTGCTCAACTTCTCCCTCCAAATCTCTCTCTTTATATATATCATTAGTCTGGGATTTGCAATTCTTGGTGTCCGTCCCACGGAAGAAATTGATATAGCAAGAAATTGGGCTGATATTATCAACGGACTGGAACACTCCGGCAACAGCAAAAGCCCCGGCAACGGACATGTTCGTTGGCAGAACTCGGGCCGAAGCTATGTAAGGAGTAACTACAACTGGTAAGCTTGGAGCGCAAGAAATTTGAGTTGGCCATGTCTCGAGCCAAGGTGACGGGTCGAGGTAAGATGTCATCCGTTGCTAGCCAACGGTGGAAACCTCTTGCCATTGATCAACATAAAATCAATCTCCAGGAGCTGTGGCTCTCGGCTGCGACAACATACGCTGCAAGAAAGAAAAAAGCCGGCAAAGAAGTTGGAAGAGTTACGCATATGGAATTCCTTCACCCTTAATAAGTATGCAGATTTGAGACTTTATGCCGAATGCTGTTATGGACACGGTCCACATCGTTTCCAAACTCCAAGGGGAAGAATGTCCATAACGCATTTTAAGTACAAGCTGGAATTCTCATAGTATTACTACAAGATAATCTTGTACTTAATTAATTTCTCATATTACATAAGGATTGAGAAACAAAGACAACATAACAAAACATGGAGTTGAATTTTAACCATTCGACGACGAAGAAGAAAAACAATCTAAGATCTTGGAAGGTATCGGATCGCTTAAGTTTGTTAACTTGTTGAACTAATATATATGTCCCAGTTGGGCCACACATTTATAAAGCAGATAATGCCAAGAATCATTAGTAAGAATCTAAGTGCAAAGTTAAAACACACACACACCACTTTATTCCAAGAAACCATTATTTCCTTATCGAACAGCTTGTTGGCTTAATTAGAAAGACACTGCAGAATCAAAATGCTTAAAATATGTCCAACCAAAATCTGAATGAACCCTAAAAATTAGTAATAATTGCTCTTCGTTGGCTACCAACCTTCAAAGAGCATCCTTGCAGATCTAAATCAGGGTAAATCACTTCCGCAAAGACATCACCAAGGCTCAAGCCATCTGCCATAACATGATCAATCTCACCATTCTATACCTAACTATGGAAAAATAAACCCATCAGGTGTCCAGAAAATAAAAGAAATTTCAAAACAGGGCTAGGATTGTAAGTTCGAGCCAAATGCGGGGCAAAAATTTATGTGGAGCTGCGAGAAAGCTAAGCAAGACATCAGTTACTCTACATGGCATATCTATCTTAAGATAAATTTGATCACGCATCTTATTATTTTCAGGAACTTGCAGCTAAGCTTGAGACGGACCAGTAGCATCCATACTTCCCCAAGTGCACGTGTGCGTAAATACTGAATTCACTAAAAGAAATGAAGTAGGCACAACGTATTCCATATTAGTTGGCTTCTAAGTAGGCATGATTTGTGTCTTTATTCTACGAATGCACACAAGAAATCAATGATTCTTATCTCACTAAATATGCATATGGCCAACTCATCATTAGTTCCAGTACATCAAGGCCCAAAACTCAATCAATCCAACGCACTTAAAAAATTAAATGCATGAATTGCGTAGAATTTTATAATATGCACATTAGAAAGGTAAACTTTTTATATCTTGTTAAAATTAAGAAAAAAATAATTCTATAATTGTCTAGAATAAACAACAGATTCATTGGTTAGGGCCACTGAAACTACCTAAATGGCCTTCACCCATCATACCTCATCATTAGTTCCAGTACATCAAGGCCTAAAACTCAATCAATCCAATGCACTGAAAAAATTAAATGCATGAATTGCGTAGAATTTTAAAATATGCACATTAGAAAGGAAAACTTTTTATATCTTGTTAAAATTAAGAAAAAAATAATTCTATAATTGTCTAGAATAAACAACAGATTCATTGGTTAGGCCCACTGAAACTACCTAAATGGCCTTCACCCATCATACCAATCAGTTCTTTTCATTCCCTGTTAACACCTACTTTGCATATTATATATCACGGCCACAAATATTATGTTTATAATGTTATGTTCAATGCAATCAGTGTAGATGGTGAACTCCAAGCAACTTCAAAGTATTTATAATGTTATGTATGTTCTCAAGCATATTTTGCCAGTACCATCATAAGTGGTGATATATCTCTATATATCATAGAACTGATATTGCCCCACACACACACACACACAAACAAAAAACATAATTTAAACCTAAATCTATTGAAAGATACTATATATCAGAGAGAGAGAGAGAGTCTTAATGATTCGAAGTGATGAAATACATGAATTGGCGAGGATTTCATCAACGGAAATCTAAAATCATTCCAAATAAATTTCTGAATGATTCACAGGTAACATATATGTATATATGTGTGAAACCTAATAAATACACTGAGGAAATGCATGCAATTGAAGACGAAATTGATGAAGCAAAAACTGAAATTATTCCAATTCACCTGATTGAACCAAAAATGGGTAAGCCATGGTTGATTGGAGAGAGAACGAGATAGAGACCTCCGTTGCGAACCAGAGCGAGAGGGATGTATACCTAATTGTTCGGTAGTAATTGATCTGATCGATGAAACTGAAATGATCTGATCGATGAAACTGAAATCATTTCTGAACGATTGATCCAAGAGAGAGATGTGGTGGCTGATTAAAGACATAGTGTGTGACACTGTGAGTTCTTATAATTTCTTTCAAACTAAATAAATAAAACCCTAATTATATTCCCCAACTTCAATCATGCCCTAGTAGGAAAAAAATTAAAATAAAAATAAAAATAAAAAAATCATGCCCGATGGAAACTCACAGGATTCCTTTGGTACTAGGAATATTGAATCATCCGTTGCCAACTAGTAATTAAGAACACCAACCAACTCCATCTCTGTTTTTCTTTCTTTTTTCGCTTTCAAATCTCTAGATTAATCTACGCAATGGTATGTGGTTGTGTTGGATTGGGCTGGCGCTGCAAAATCACTGAAACTCAATTACTCTCTCTCGGCGCAAGAAAAAAGGCTATGAGAAGCTGCCTTTCATGAGTGGATACTGCCCCCATATATATCAAAGAAAAATCCTAGAATATTCTCGTCTTTTGGGAGTACAAGTTCCTACTTGGATCTGGACTTTATCTGGCCTAGTGGGCCTTTTTAAAAGTTGTAAATGGGCTGGGTAACGTTGGGGGCGATCATCCTCCCGGGATTAGGGCCCATCGCCATCGCACCGCTGTTCTGAAATTTATGGAATTAGAGTAGAAATAAATTTAATTTTGAGTAAAAAATCTCTCAAGTCAAGTACTTAGAAAGGGAATACAAAGATAAAATGTCAGTCGATTTAATTGTTGTTTCATAGTGCTTGGTTCAGTTGGAAATAATGAGCACTGTCAGATTATATTATAAAAAATAAAATAAAAAAATTTACTTAGTTAGGAAGGCACAAAAAAATTGTACAAATTAATTAACCGAAAGTGAACAAAAGATTGTCCAGGGCTACCCTGGAAATAATGAGCCCTGTCAGCAATGCGTGTGTATATATATATATCAAGGTAAAGTGTGGAAGAGCAAAACAAAACTAGTAACAAAATGAATTTTTTTTTTTAATAAATCAAGATAAGCTTGATGTGGCAAGATGAAGCTGGGGCTGCCATCCAATGGCTATGCGTTGTTGAAAATTAAGCGTGTTTCAGGGGAAATTTCTGAGCATCCATGTCATAAAAAATTCTCAAATAAGTTTTCCTTTTAAAATAAGAAATCATACCAATTTTTTTTCTAAATTAAATACAATTTCTGAATTAATATCTCGTTACAATGCAAGATCATTATTAATTTTCAAAAAAACGGAAAGAAAAAAAAAAAAGAGAGAGAGATGATTATCAATATTATTATTAATTTTTTTGCTCTTTCTTTTCACTCTAGTACTACTCACGCCTATCTATATATAGATAGACCAATATTGAAGCTTTTAATTTTGGTTAACCATTCCGGAAAAGAAAAGGAAAATATTTATGTGTTTGGTTGGGTTTCCTGTACTCTCAAAACCGGCTTCTAAGTCCAAAAAGGCCTTTGTCAATAAAAGTCTAAGGCTCTGTTTGGGGGAGCTTCTTGATCTTCAAATTCCTTCCACTTAATGGGCTTTGCAAAATAAATTTTATTGGAAGGAATTTAAAGAAAAAAAGTTGTTGGGTGGATATATTATTTTAAAAAAATTCTTGACTAAACACCATTTCACTTGACAATTTTATCCTTAATTATCATGAATAATACAAACTTGATAGCATAGTTGAATTAATCAGGATATAGCAAGAAAAAAAAATGAAAAAGATAATTAGATTAATGGAGTGAAAATCAAAGATGATAGAGCAACAATTAATTGGCACATCAATGTTGTTCATACTTTTATTGTAGATACATTGCCGATAAGGTGAAGATCAATCATATCGATAGAAGTTGAAGAGAAAAAAATAAAATGGTGAGAGAGATTGTAGCATTTTAGCAAAATTATTTCGATTCAATTTCATTCATATTTCTAGTTATATTACAATCCTAACTTGATACGTAAAACAAAAGAAAGGTCTTAAAAAAAATGTTGTTTAGAATTCTATAGAGAGTTGAACTTTTTTGGATGAGAGTTCAAATATCTTTATAACTCTTTTGCTCCTTAGTCTTTGAGATCAAATGGAAATCAATGAGAAATTTTTTCTACAAATCCTCCACTTTATGAGAAATAAAATAAGGATAAAATTGTAATTAAAAATTATTACTTAAAATTAGCCAAACTTTACGATAAATAAGTTCCAAAAGCAAGTTTTTTGAGTTTTGTTTAAATGGACTTTTTAGGACTTTGACGTTTGTTGGAATTCTTTTTATCTTGGTTAACCACACACTTATATTTTTCTGAAAATGGCTTCATAGGCTTGGAAGCCCATTTGAAGCCATCAAAAAGTTCAGGCACTAAGAGGTTTAGAACCCCGATTGATTAAACCCAATAAAACATATTTCATGATCAACTTCATGCATGCTACACACTTTTTTAAGTAATAGATATAAAATTCATATATTGTCCATTATTTAACCTATTTCTATTTATGAATTTCATTGCAAACTTTTATCTTTCTCTTTCTGTATCATCTTCTTCGTTCCTTATCTACCCAAAAATAAAAAATAAAAATAAAATAATGTTGAGCAAAATTTTATTAAACTTTATAAAAAAAAATATTGTTGAAAAACGAATCATCAAAAGAAGAACAAAGTGATTGAGGAGTTGCAGAAAAAATTACTATTGATTCCTATTTGATTTCAAAGTCTGAAGAGTTCTAAGAACTCTCATCCAAAATTCAACCCTATGTAGAATTCTAAATAACTTTTCTTTCTCTCAACATATATATATATATATATAATCTTTTTTGAAGGCTACCTGTTCCGCAGTTAAAGTTATTTATAATTATAAATAAAAATAAAAATGGGATATTTTTGCTGCCATCTCTTTCTTTTTTTTCTTTTCATTTCTTTCTCCATCTCTTTCAACTTCTATCAGGTAGTCAAGGAAAAAAGAAACTTCTAGCATATAGATTGGGTTAAATTTGTATACCCGGATCTTCACTATGCCAATTAATCGTTGTTGCATCATGGCAATTTTATTCCATCACTTTAACCATGGTTTTTTTTTTTTTTTTTTTGACACGAATAAGTAGGACTTAACTCTATTGTTAATCCGTTCCCTTATAAATATAAATAGGTAGGACTTAACTATTCCGTTAATCCGTCCCTAAAATAAACAAATAGGTAACACTTAACTTTTCCGTTAATCTGTTCCTAAAATACCCCCATATTATTTTAATGGTGCATAAATTTATAAAATCCATAATTGATGCAACATATATAATTATACATTAAATAATCCAGAAGTAAACATAATAAAAATCCAATAAATACATGATTAAAATCACATAAATATACATTGAAATTGCTAGAATAATATTAAGTAACTAAATCCTTCATTCACAACATGTAAGTTAATTAAAATTTCATATTGTTCAAATCCTTAGCATATTAATGTATATTATGCATTCTGATATTTTAACCAATCTATTTCAACCATTTAAATCACCTAATTTGATCTAAATAACCTTAGAACACCCCAGTCCTCAAAACAAAACTTAAAAACCAATTCAGCAACTATATTCATCCTCCCTGAACAATACTGAGTGTATAAGTAATAACTTTCCATAATTTAGTTATCTACTCTATCTCGCACATATGTTTACTGTGTATTGTCTCCCTACATACTAATTTAGCATACGATCCTGGCACCTACACTCTTGCCTCCTCAAATACCTTCCAAATTGATGTCTTACCATTTGTTGATAAGACTAAACGATTTAACTTTAGGACATACTAAAGAACAGAATATAGAATACAATAAATCCTAAACTTAAGCTCTAAGTAAACGAGTACACAATGCGGAAGTCACATGATGAGCGCTGAAAAGTACACTTTTAAACCCCTTAAGCTTGAGTATTGTAAGACCTTTATCTATCTTATTTACCCTTTTTAGTACTTATTTGTGTTTTTGTCTATTTCAGGTCAATAATGTTAAAATGGGCTAAAACTAGTTTCTTAAGGCCTTTTGGAGTCAAACTAAGTCTTAGTGAGAATCCGGAGCAAAATGAGGCTGATTTGGAGCAAAAAGAGGCTGATCCTGAAAAGCTGCCAAGTTTGATCGATCCAACTTTTTCTCTGATCAATCCAACTTCTCTGATCAATCAAATTTTTTCTCTGATCAATCGAACATTGCTGGCAATGAGCTGTCTTATTCCCGTGCGCGCCCAAAAGTCCACCTACTACATAACGGGATTAGATATTTTTGGAGCAATATTCCTTGCTTAGTGACTAAGAAAATGACCTTCTATATAAAGCGAAGTGACCCATTTTGTAAAGAAGCTTTTGATCATTTTATTTTTTACATTATATTTTTTTTTTCTCTCTCTAGCAAAGTTAGAGATTAGGGTTGGAAGAAAATAGGGAAGTGGAGGCACATCTCAAGAACACATCTCTAGACCACTCTCTCTCTCCATCTCTAGAGCTTCAAAGAAGAAGAAGAAGAAGAAGAGAAAGAAGAAGATGGAGCCATATTTGGAGCTTGATTACATGACCACATCCACTTCCTCCATGATTAGCTAGATCTACACTTAGGGCTTGAATGAGCCCTAAGTCTTGTGTAATCTAAAGCCTTGTATTTCTATTTTTGGAGATTTATATATATTGTTGTGATTAGTGCTCTAACCTTGTGAATTTCATGAATCTTGGTATATTTCTATGATTTCTATAGTTTAATTCTTCCTATTAATTCTCTAGTTTATTTACATGTCTATGTGTGATTAAATTAGGAATTATTTCTTACATGATTCATATGGATTAATTCTTTCTATTGATTCTTTATTTGATTACATGTTGTCTTATGTGTGATTATTTGGGGAATTAATCTCTAGATTAGATTCTCTATGTTGGTTGCATGTCTATGTGTGATTAATTAAGGATTTAGTGATGGCTAAGTATGGGTTTTCATTGAATGAGTTTGTCAATTAATTAGATGGTTTATACTTATGCTTGATGGGTTGTTTTACAATTTAATTCATGTTTGTAGGTAGGTAGACAATCTATGATTGTTTAGATATTCCATGGCTTATAATTGCAAATTCCATGATTCTCTAGATTGATGTGTGCTACAATTGTTGCTACCTAGATGGGTCATGCTTAAACTAGATGGGTTGTGCTACAATTAATTTAGGTAAGACAATTCATGCTTAAATTAGATGGTCCATGCTTAATATTATAATTGGTAATCGCATTTTGTTCACAACAATGTATTCCTCATTAATGGAAAGCAAGTGGTTAATTACATGAGTTTAGTGGTGATTCCAACACCCTAAATCCTCTCTTCTCATCTCTTAAATCCCTATCTCTCATTAGTTTATTTTAATTGCATTTTAATTAATTGATTTCTAGATTAATTAACCAATCTCTCTCTTTTGCAATCATTTGGTACATTAGAG